TTCTAACACTGTTTCTAGGATATCCTAGGTTCTTATCTTCTAACATTGTTTCTAGGATATCCCAGGTTCTTATCTTCTAACACTGTTTCTAGGATATCCTAGGTTCTTATCTTCTAACACTGTTTCTAGGATATCCTAGGTTCTTATCTTCTAACTTTTCCTAATTTGAAGTATTTTTAAAGGAATTATGTGATTTACTTCTGAAGACTGTTTACATATATTCAAGACTCAAATCAACCCCCAAAATGATGCACCTATCCCTTTAAACAAGCAAACTTATTCACTCCATAATTTGAATATTTTAAAAGTCTAGCCAATCAAATTTCTTTCTAAGAGATAAGATGGACTAGATGTCATTTTTAAAAACAAACTTCTTCACTTGATAATATAAATACTTAAATTATATTTTACAATTATAATATTTTATCTTTTATTCAAAATCTTCAAAAATATATTTATTCAATGTTCAATTTTAAACTGAAATAACATCAATTATCTATTTTATACAAAGTGGGTTTTTTTATTTAGTTTTTTAAAAACTCACTGAATCATATGATTAATGTTTTTAATAAAATATTTCTATAAGAAGTTTGCCACTGTGATAATAATATAAACTTTCTTTAAATATAATTTATATCTCTCATTACCTTTCTTCATAGTTAACTTTCTTTAAATATAATTTATATCTCTCACTACCTTTCTTCATAGTCAACTTTCTTTAAATATAATTTATATCTCTCATTACCTTTCTTCATAGCTAACTTTCTTTAAATATAATTTATATCTCTCACTACCTTTCTTCATAGTTAACTTTCTTTAAATATAATTTATATATCTCACTACCTTTCTTCATAGTTAACTTTCTTTAAATATAATTTATATCTCTCACTACCTTTCTTCATAGTTAACTTTCTTTAAATATAATTTATATCTCTCATTACCTTTCTTCATAGTTAACTTTCTTTAAATATAATTTATATCTCTCATTACCTTTCTTCATAGTTTACTTTCTTTAAATATAATTTATATCTCTCACTACCTTTCTTCATAGTCAACTTTCTTTAAATATAATTTATATCTCTTACTACCTTTCTTCATAGTTAACTTTCTTTAAATATAATTTATATCTCTCATTACCTTTCTTCATAGTTAACTTTCTTTAAATATAATTTATATCTCTCATTACCTTTCTTCATAGTTAACTTTCTTTAAATATAATTTATATCTCTCATTACCTTTCTTCATAGTTAACTTTCTTTAAATATAATTTATATATCTCACTACCTTTCTTCATAGTCAACTTTCTTTAAATATAATTTATATCTCTCACTACCTTTCTTCATAGTTAACTTTCTTTAAATATAATTTATATATCTCACTACCTTTCTTCATAGCTTACTTTCTTTAAATATAATTTATATCTCTCATTACCTTTCTTCATAGTTAACTTCTTA